AAATGATAATGCCAATACATTGTAACAGAACATAAGGAACACAATGAAAGCAGTCCTAGGAGGGAAATTTACAGCACTGAATACCCATAGCTGAAAAACAGAGCAAGCTCAAATAACCTACTGTTGAACCTCAAGCTTTTAGATCAAGGGCAGGTCATGCCTAAAGCTTGTAAAAAGGAGGATGTTATAGAGAACAGAGCAGAAGTTAAAGCAATGGAGACTAACAAAATAATACAAAGAATCAATGAAACAAAGAGTTCTGTGTTACATTAAATGAACTTGACAAACTCTCAGCCAACCTTATTAAAAACAAAAAAGACCCAAACACATACAATTGGGAATCAAAAGGTGGAAATCACAAGAAGTCCTACAGATATTCAGAAGATCCTCAAAACCAAACCTACTTTCAGAATGTGTATTGTAAGATAGAAAACAAAGAAGAAATAGACAGATTCCTAGTTACATATGAATTACCACAGCTGAATCAAGAAGGTATAAAAATTCTAAATAAATCAGTATCTGTCAGTGAAAGTGAAGATGTAATTAAAAACCCATCAATAAAGAAAACCCTAGGCCCTGACAGATTCACTGCTGAACACCACAAGAAATTTAGAGAAAACCTAATACTACTACTTCAGTCTCTTTTAAGAAATTGAAAGAGAAGCCATACTCCCAAATTCATTCCTGGAAGCATGTATTATCCTGATACCAAAACCAGAAAGGAATCCAATCAATCCTTGACTGCAAATTATACTACAAAGTTATTGTGATAAAAACTGGCAAAACAAAACAAAACAAAACAAAACAAAACAAAACAAAACAACCAGACTCAAGGATCAATGGAACAGATTTTAAGATGTAGAAACAACTCCAGCATACTCAATCATCTTATCTTTGACAAAGGAGCCAAACATACTCACTGGAAGAAAGATAGCTTCTTTAAGAAATGGTGCTGGAAAAAACTGGCTTTCCACATGCCAAAGATTACAACTAGACCCATATCCCTTCCCAGGCATTAAGCTAAAATCCAAATAGCTCAAAGACTTCAATATGAAAATAGAAACAACTCCAATCTGCTGGAAGACAGGCAGAACTGAAGACTTTAGTATAGGCAAAGATCTCATGGAAAAAAACCCCAATTGCAAAGCTTCTATCAGAAATAATCAACAACTTGGACTGCATCTTATTCAAAATCTTTTGAAAAGCAAGAGAAACTACCAAGAGAGTGAAGAGACAACCCACGCGATGGTAAAACATTTTTGCCAGCTGTTCCTCAGACAAAGGATTAATGCCTAAAATATATAAGGAGCTCAAAAATACAGAACCACCCCCAAATTCAAAAAATGGGCATCAAAAATGAACAGACCCTTCTCAGATGAAGAAGTAGAAATGCTAAAGAAATACATGAAATACATGATAAGGGGCTGGGCATTTAACTCAGTGGCAAAAGCACCTGCCTTGCAAGCAGGTAGTCGTGAGTTCGATCTCTGGTACCTCTCTCACTAAGTCACCTCTCCCATTAAATAGGCACCAGAAAAGCTAACATAAAAGAATAAACAATGGGGGCTGGGGATTTAGCTCAGCAGCATAAGTGCCTGCCTTGAAGCAGGTGGTCATGAGTTCGAGCCCTGATACCAGTTTAAAAAAAAAAAAGAAGAATGAACAGTGTCAGGGGTAAAGATGATATGCGCACTGACTTCTCACATGCTGTTGGTGTCAGTACAATGCCACTTTTAGCAATATCTCTTAAGGCTGAACAAATGCATGGGATATCTATCACTCCACAGTTCTCTGCTTTTTTTTTTTTTTTTTTTTAAAGGATCCGAGGGCCAGGGATATAGCTTAGTGGCACAACTCCTGTTTGGCAACACAACGTCCTGAGTTCAAGTCCCATTACCTCCCCCCCAAAAAAGACAGGTTCTCAGTATAAAGCCCAAGAGGGGCGCAAACTCGCAGTCTTCTTGCCTCAACATTCTGCCCTGCTGAGTTTATAGGCATATGCCGCCATGCTCAGCCATAGCTTCACTCTCATACACAAAAGAAATAATACACAAGAATACTCAGGATAGAATTGATAAAAACTGGAATCAACCTGAATGTTCATGAATAGAAAAGAACAAATTTTGATATATTGGTATGCTGGATTACCAGACAACAGATGAGAATAGGCAAAAAATATAGGACACAGGTAAATCTCATGAACAATGAAACAACCAAGAAACACAATATAGGTACTATTTTACTTCATTTAGTCAAGAAGAAGCAAAAATAATCAATGGTGAGAGATCAAGACCATTGTTAGAATTGGAGGAAAGGTACAAGGATTCCTCATTTAACCACCAAGTCCTATTCCTGTCAGTACAGCGTTAAAAGAATTAGTTGCTAAATGAGGAGCTGTATATAATACATACATTACAACACTCAGCACAAAGAAATGGTCAAAGGAAACTCCAACTTGATGACTTTGCCTTTATTTGCACAACTTCTATGCAGTATATAATGTACAACAGAACATGAAACTACAGTACCATAGAGTACCATCAGAAAAAATATAGTACTGTATAAACATTACAAACTAAAAAAAAAAAAAAAAAAAAAAAAAAAAAAACCATTGAGAGTCTCTGAACCAGATGTGCAGAACTTTACAAAAAATAAAAAAAGAGGAGGCATAAGTCTGAGCAGCAGGGAAGTCCAAACAGTTGTTAAGCAGGTAATTAAATGAGAAACACCTGTACTGGAAACTAGGCAGGGGCTTCCAGTGTTTCATTTTGATGTAGGAACTGTTTCTCAAGTGTGTTGGCTCTATGGAAAATTCGCTGAGAAGATTTCTGATATTTGCTATAGTTGGGGGCCTTCATTCTGAGGAGCATTCTCTGCTCTCTTTTTATTTTTTATTTAAGACAACTGCTAAGTTTCTCAGGCTGGGCTCAAATTTCTGATCCTCCTGCCTTGGCCTCCCTAAGGGTTGAAGATTCCAGGAATGCACTACCATGCCCAGCCTTTTACTTCAATTTTTAGAAGTAGGGCACATTCTGACCTGCCTACCCAATGTGCCAAAAGTACACCGGGCACTTACTTGACAGGCCTCTCTAGTCAAACAACTACCAAAGATGAGCCTGATTCCAGGAAAGGAAAAGGACCAAAACAAGTTTGTTTCATGGTTTCTGTGTTTCTGAAATGCTGCATCAGGTGCTCAGATGGTGACGGGACCTGGTGGCATCATCACATTATGCACTAAACTAAGCATTTCCAGGCTGCTACACTGAGAACCCTCCAGAAACAAATCACCAGGCAACCACCTCATCAGCAGGTGTGACAACACCCACTGCCTGAAACCAACTCTACAAAACTCCTGTCACTTCCCTCTCAGGTCCTGCCTGCCTGTTTTTTCCAAAAACTGAATAGATTAACTATGTATTAGATAAATTGTAGATCTATCTCAAATTATAGTCAATATATTACAAAAACAAAACTAAACCATCACAAATTTACAAATACCTGTATATACTATAAAATCCTTCACATAAACTGCTCCCCATTACCTCCCTACACAAATACAAGTTGGCCAGTTCTTATAATCTTCTATAGTAAAATCTGACCTAAATAAACTCTGACATTTATAAGATTCCAATGAGAAAAATCTTAATGTGACTAGGAGGGATGGAGCTCAGTGATAGAGCACTTAGGCAAACACAAATGAAGCCCTCCTTCAACCCTATGCTCCACAAAAGCAAACAATTTACTGATTCTCTAACCAACAAAAGAAACATATAGCACTAACATCAAATTATTGTTTCTAAAAAGGAAATTCAAATGCTTGGCTTATTAATCTTTCAGGAGAATTGACTATAGCCAACAAATACATTAGGGCTAGTGTTCATTTGCCGATTTATCACTGCAGACTCATCATGACAGCATAGATGTATGCTTATTCAGGTCTACCTGAATGGACCAGAAAGGCAACTATTATGAACAAGTAAAATGGTACTCGATGGCTTATAAACACCTAAATAATAAGCTACTTATCTCCCACTATGCTGTGTACCATTTACCTTACATTTTTCTAGTTTTACTATGTTCTCCCTTCGCATGCCATTCAGTCTCCATTTAATTCCACAAGAGGCAGTTTTGAGATACTGGGCTGAATGTAATATAATTAAAGAAAGAACTACAGTTGTTTCCAACTTTGAGGTGGTTTTTACTTTTATATATTTGTTTTTGGTACTGGGGATCAAACTCATGACTTTATGCTTGCCAGGCAGAAGCTTATGCTGCTGAACTAAATCCCCAGCCCAGTTGTTTTAAACTTAGAAGTCTAGTCTAAAAGGAGAAAGTTCCTAAAGAATAAATTTCCAGTTTTCTATCCCTTATTACAAATGTGATTTACAAACACCGGTATTCTGTAAAGATAGTCTGTAAAAATTTTTCTCTGTGAAATCAATCCTTGTCTACCAAATTTCAAGGGCTAGAGATAATATCTCAGCAGCAACAAGCATCTGCTTGGCAAGAGCAAGGTCCTCAGTTCGATTCCTGATACCAAAAACAAAAAAAAATTATTATCTACCAAATTTCATTAGAAAACTGCAAATCCTTGAGATACAATCCTAAACACACATACAATTCCTGAGATACAAGCCATGGGAAGCCTACATTAAGCAAGAGATCTCACAAAACAGAATCAAAGAAACCAAGGACCATGCCGCTTGGTTGTTGTTTCAAGTCTTTTTAAAAAACCTTCAAAGTGCATTCCCAAATCTTTAGCAGTTCCTCAGCGAAGAGTGAAAGTAGTAAGATATTTTCACATGACTTTACAGAACACTAGTTTGTTTGCCCTAAGTAGCTGAATCCCCAGGAACTCTGCATGCGCTTACAAACACTAGGAACTATCATTTGACAAGTGGTTGGTTACACAAAATATACAGGTACAAAAACAAAAGATGGTACCACAGAAAGACACGTAACAGAAAAAACCTGTAGTTTCAGGTGAAAACCACACATACCTGTGGAAGCGCAGTATTGAGTTGTCTCTGCAACGAATCTCTCTCATGACCAACCTCGAGTAATTTCCCCTGGGTCAACGCCAATGTTTCTTGAGTCTCTATCAGTGTGCTCTGAGCAATGTATGTTTCTTCTAGCATGGACATCATGTGCTGTTCAAAATGGGAATCTGTATCTGGTTGTGAAGGGCAGCCAGATCCATGGTTTTCACTTCCTCCTGAAGGGCCTTCTTCACTGATGGTGGGCATCACCTCACACATCATTTTGGAACAAAAACACAGGACTAGTCATTATACGGAAAATACAGGTTCCCACAAATCTACAACTTTATGAGTATCTGTAGCTAATAAAGGAAAGCTGACAATCTCTTTATTCACAGATCTGTTATTCTTTGGATGCAAATACTCTGTGAAGATACACCCAGGCACCCATTAAATGCAGAAAGCCACCACATGAAGACACTAAAGAAGACAACAACGCTGGGAAGATGTAAGGCCCAAAGAGAGCTACTTATTTCTCCTATAAAGAATAGAGCAAACCATGTGAGGTTTTGTTTGCAAAAGCAAACTTTTTAGTTTTGAAAACAAGTGCGCTTCTGTTACCTAATTTTTTCTATTTCCTGGTAGGGGCCCATTCCACTCAATCCTTTTTCAGGAAAAGCACAGAAGCAGTATACAGCCAGGAAAACTGACAAGTACAAAATCCAACAGGCATCTTACATCTTACATCTTATTGACTGTGTGCAGTCAGCTCCTGGGAAGGCCTGCCTGAATTCTTGGGCTTAATTTAGTGAACACAGAAAGGAATTGGATTTGCTATGGCTCAAGAGAGATGTTTTTCTTTTCTTTTTTTTTTTTTTTTAGGCTATTAAGGGTAGCAGTGTACTTTATTAACAAACAAAACAGTACCACAGAGGCAAAAATTTACTTTAATGGAAAATCACACAAATATGCATATTAGCACTGGGGCAGATTTCAGTGGAGTATAAGACCTTATTTAACAATAATTGTGACAAGAAGATTGAGTTTTTAATTCTCAACTTAACTTCGGGGTCAGATTTCAGAACTGTGAAAGAGATGTCTCAACAGAGCCAGAGTAGGTCTGTCAGTCTCTTAAACTGACTTTTGTTTCTCGTCCAGAGAAAACATCTATGGTATCTTCTTTGTGTGGGTTAAGCCCACACATGGTGGGTGTTCTCAGCTCCAATTTCATGCCTAAGTATGTGTAGAGTGGCATTCATTTTGATACCCAATCTGTGGCTTAGGAGGGTTGATCTAATTCAGATGAATTCACTGGTTTTCTAAAACTTAAGAGAAGAGGGGAAATTGCACCCTCAGGAGGCCTCCAACATCCAAAACTTCAATATGATAACAATCTGATTATTGTTAAAACTGTTGCCAGTTCAGAAGTTTAAACCAAAATTTCTCAAGGCATATCAAGACTGAGTTAATCAGTACATGAATAGAAACAACTGCAAGTGATTAGGGATGAGATTTCTCACAGCTGTTTGATATGACACATGGCAATTGCTCATGTACTGGAACATATTCAAGCCCTTATCAAAACTTAAGTTAGCTAAAATGCTCTTGAATTGCAAGATAAAAGGTGGCAGAAAAATTCAGCTCTTTGCACTGAGGATAAAATAAACACTGGAAACTCTCCACATCAGTGCAGAGACTTAAGTTTGCATTTAGGATAAAATTAATGTTCTAATAGACTTGAGTTGGCTGATTTTATCTAGAAGTATTTAATTCTTCTTAAATAAAAACATTTTTAAAAGAAAATGTTTTTGTTTTAAACCTTTGGAAGGGGCTTTTGAAAACCTGAATGTTCTCTCTCTCTCTCTCTCTCTCTCTCTCTCTCTCTCTCTCTCTCTCTTTTTAGTTCTGGGAATTTAACCCAAGATCTTGCACTTGCCAGGCAGGCACTGTGCCACTGAGCTACATCCCCAGCCAAAAACTTGAGTCTTTCAAATGTGAAGAACAGGAGGTGAGTACTGTTCTGGGACCCTGATCCATAGTGGCAGTTGGTCACCCTAGAAAGTTGTGAACTTCTGGGCTGTGTACCAACACTTCATCAGTTCCTAAAGATGTCACAGGCAAAGTCTTAACTTACTCCAGCTCTACAGAGAAAATGATGTTTCTGAAATCATTAGGTGTTTTACATTAAAGGTGAGAAAAAGACAGTTGCTTCTCATGAACACTTTAACTTCTTGAAATCAACAGAGCAATCACAAGGTTTTAATAGAGTAACAAGCATGAGTTAGTCTACACAGACAAGACAGAATTTGGTCTTACTGAAATTAACTAGATAATTCTTTGGGTTATTTTTACTTTAACACAGACTGAGAATAAACTGAAAAGCGCTTAAATCAAGTGCACTTAAATGGCCCAATGACACAACCTTTAATTCACCCTTTCCTTTTGATGGTGGTTGGTGGTACTGAGAATGAGTAAGATGGAAGCCAGAAGTTGAAACTTCAGGACTGTGGCAGTAGCTTGTACTTTTGCAACACAAACCCGAAGGCAGTTAGCGAGGTTGATATTCCAATAATCTTCAGGAGGCCAGGCACAGAAGGCAGGTTCCTCTCCAAGAAGGTACGGGTGATCTCAACTGATGGAACATCCTTGCACTCAGGTTCTTGCACCCATATATCCTCCTTGGCCACCTTCCCAAGAGCATTTAAAACCTCTCTAGCTGCCCGTTCTCCAGCCTCAACTGCTCCCTCCATGTACCCGCTCCACTGTGTGGCAGTCTCTGTGCCAGCAAAGTAAATCCTGCCCACTGGCTGGCGAATCACTCTTCCATACTGGGTCATGATCCCGGGAGGGAAGTAGGCTGTGTAGCAGCCCCCAGAGTATTGCTCCTCACACCAGTTCTTCTCTTCATAATGCACGGGCTCTAAAGCTTCTTGAGATCCCAGCACTTTGGCATACAGTTCACAGATTTTCTTCTTCCTTATTTCCTTATGGAGTTTAGCAAGCCGATCAGCTTTCCGGGCAAGTATGAAGCCCATGATGGCGGGCACTGATTCATCTGGTTTGGTGTCATCCAGGGTAATGGAAATTGGGGCTTCTTCATCCTCAATGATCATGCAGCCACAGTAATCCTTTTTCTTCCAGAAGGCTTCCCTATAATACATCATGCACTTAATGACAGACCCCATTGGAAGGCGCTGGATTAACTGGGTTCTCTCTGGTGGAAGTTCTGGTCTGAAGTGGATCTTGGCAGTTAAAGTTGGAGGGATGGCGCTAATCACATATCTGCACTCATAGCGTTCATGATTCAGTGTCTCTATAATGATGTTGCCACCTGACTGGTCAACATAGGTGACAGGGCAGTTCAGCTTCACTCGGTCACCTAGGAGGCCCATTATTCTTTCACTCACTTGACCAGATCCACCCTTAAACTTCCGTTCCTGGCCTCCATTGGTGATTGAGAATATCCGAGAGGTACCACCACATTGCTTCACATACCACAGAAACCACAGAGCAGAGACCTCATGGGGCTCAGAGGTCACATTGATATTCACAAATAGAGTAGCAAACTGCTTAGCAGTCTTTGTCCAGCAGATTTTATCGAAGAGATCTTTCATGGTCATCTTGTCCCACTCCTGGGCATGTGGAGCCTCCCAAGGTGCATCATTTGGAATCTCCTTTCCCATGTCATCCATTGTCCGCCACAAATTGTTGTAATCCAAATATGCAATAGGATTCCATACAGGAGGAAATGCTCCACGAAATGGGTAAGTTTTCCCCTTGACATACTGAACAAGACGCTCATTGACATTCACTTTGTAAGTTTCAAGCCCCAGCTCCTTAGACAAGCGTAAGATTCTGTTCTGGGTTGGTCCTACATAGGCTCCACCAACATCTACCCAATTAACATATTCATTCCTCACAGTGAATGTTCTTCCTCCAACTCTGTCCCTGGCTTCTAAAACCAAAACACTAAGTTCATGTTCAGATAATAGTTTGGCAGCAGCCAATCCTGAAATGCCGCCTCCTATCACCACTACGTCGAATATCTGGCCTGCAGGGCTTGCTTTCTCCGAACTCGCCATGCTTTGGTTGAGATTCTTCTGAGGCTTAGACACACAAGTAGGGACAGCCAAGGGCGGGGCGGCCCCTTCTACTGACCCTAGCTTAGCATTCGGGGGCGGAGTCAATCTTCCTACAGATATCCCGGGGGAGCCGGGCCCCAAGCTTGGGGCGGGCTCTTGTGCTGACACTCTGAGACCGCCCGGGGGCGGGGCTGATTGTGGTTTAGCTCCCCGGGCGAAGCCGGCGCGCGCTCCCCCGTTGTTACTGGATAAAGACCCTTGTACCGACTCTTGGGTAGGACTACAATAGGGTACAGAAGGCCGAGCTACTGATATCCAGGGGTGGCTGGGCGAGTGCTGCTCCTGTGCTGAGGGTCGGGGACGGATACTGGGTGTAGAAGGAACCTGCACCGGCGAGTGGAAAGCATTACTAGGTGCAGAAGGTCCCGGTTCCAGTAGGCAAGGAGGGTGAGACTTTAAGCTCGTAGTGATTTCTTGTAGAGACCCTTGGGGTGTGCCGGAAACTGAAGTCTGGGAACTCCGTATCGAATCTTGGACAAAGCTAGGTAGAGATCTCTCTGAAGAGCCATACAGCGACATTGCAGAGGAGCTCAAGGATGGGGCAGGTTCTACAACACGGCGGTGGTTAGCTTCAGGGTCATGACTGGAAGCTGGGGCGGCCCCAACAGAGGCACTCGAATGAGGGGCAGATACTGAGTTCTGCCCTCTATAGCCTCCCGCACGGAAGCCCCTGAAGCCAGTCGTGCGGTCACGGTTAGAGCTCCGGGCACAATTAGTGCCGGAGGGCCCACCGGAGTTTGGGTCTAAGGCGACCGCGTGTAACCGGTTGATGGAACGAGAGTGGGAGAGAGTCGGTCTCTCAGCTAAGGCATTCCGCTCTGACCAGTGGGTCGCGGATGCGCGAAAAGAGGGGGCCAGGTTCTGGACCTGGTTATTGGAACCCGAGTTTTGGAAACCCTGCCTTGACTCACGCCCTCTTCCTCTGCCGCGGCCACCGCGGAACGGGACTGAGCTGTGTGAATTCATGTTTTTAGCTTTTGGGTCGCCAGGGGAGGCGTTTCTTATTCTCACCCTCCCTTACCAGCCTAGAGAGATGTTTTTCAAGGACTGCAGTGGCTGTTCAGTCAACCTAACTTAAGTTTACAGCTCAAAAAAAAAAAAAAAAAAAAAAAAAAAAAAGAAGAAGGCTTCACAATGGAAATACAGCAGGTCAGTACAGTGGAGAATGGTTAGGAAGGAAAGGTGAGAGGTACGATCATGAGAGGCTATTGTGTCACATAGACAGACGGGCCTAATGAGGGCGACAGGGATCGCTGAAGACTTCCAGGTAGTACCCCAGGCAGGTGCGACCCTCCAGCAAGAGATCCCCGCGACCGCACACCTGACCACGATGATTTCTAGCACCTCACCGGGTGCTGTACAAGTTCTGGCCCCACTTACCCTAGAGCTTTCCAGGACGCGGCCATACAGGCGAGTCCACAGTGCCATCACTGGGGTCTCCTGGGCAATGTGCAGTGGTTTAGAATCCGTCCCTCGAGACCTAGGGGGTCCTGCTAGCCGCGAGCAGGACCAACCGCCAGCGCAGGACCAACCGCCAGCCAAGCGCTGAAGCTTTGCCCCCGCCCACGCGCACCCCCGGGTGACATTTGGCGGGTGGCCCCTGGCCAGCTCCAACCTTCCTGCCTCAGTCTCCCGCTCCTTACCTTGCGCGCAGTCTTTTTAAACATTGCGATATAAAACAAAAACCATTCTTAAAAAGCAAAAAGGGTTCAGTTGACTTAAGAGTTGTCATCACGAAGAAAAAATAACCCCAAGCGATAACACACGTGAATTAGCTCAGTTTAGCTGTTCTGCAGTGTGTACACATATCAAAATATGTGACAGACTGGGCGATGTGGCACACACCGCTATTCCCAGCTCGTGGGAGGCTGAAGCAAGAAGAATGCTGTGGGTTCAAGGACAGCCTGAACTACAGAGCAAAAGTGTCTCAAAAATCCAAGGAACAAAACAAGTAGCATGTTACCAATCATAAATATAGACAAATTTTGATCCTGCCAATTAAAACCTGAGGAGGGGAGTCTGGGAGTGTGTCTCAGTGTCAGGGTGCCTGACTAGAGCGTGTGTGAGGGTCCTGGTTCTGTACCCTGCACCACAGAAAAGTGGGAGGAAACATCACATGGAGAAATCACCAAACGTGGGTCCCTTGATTCTTCATGCCATCAGGTTTGCATCATTTATCAAGCAAAGCACCTTCTGGGCACCCAGCAGTCACCTAGTGGAGAAAGGGACTCTGTGGTCAGACACAGACCATGCCAACCACCAAGTAATGAAGACTGGATGGTCTGTGGAGACTCTGGTGACACCACAAGCTTGATAACCTAAAGAAACAGTGTCCCTTCAGTTTTGTAGGTCTGGATCTGGCAAGGGTCTTCCTGAGCTAAAGACATGGTATGGCCAGGCTGCCTTCCTTTCTGCAGGTCCAGTGGAAAATCCACTTCCTCCTGCCTCCAGTTTCTGGAGGGACTTGTGGATTCTGTCCACTTTCCTCAACTTCAGAGCTGGCAGTAACAGTCAAGGTCCTCTCCCATCCCACCACGGTGACTCTGAGCTCTTAGCCTCCCTTTGCTTCTTTTTCATTTTTATCGGTACTGGGGATCGAACTCACGACTGCCTGCTTGCAAGGCAGGTGCTTATGCCGCTGAGCTAAATCCCCAGGCCCCTCCCTTTGCCTCTTGAAGACCCCTTTGGATTATGCTGGGTCGACTCAGAAATTTCTAATCTCTGTTGGACAAGTTTGTTTTCAGCAGGGTGTGGCAGCATACATCTATAATTCTAGCTGAGGCAGGAGGATTGCTGCAAGGTGAAGGTCAGCCTGGGCTAGCTACATAGAAGTTCAAGGCCAGCCTGAGCTATGAAAAAGACCCTGTCTCAAAAAGCAAACAGACAACAAGATATATTTTCGTTATGGTAAAACACACACAAAACTTCCCATCTGAACCATGTTCAGGTGCACAGGTCGGGGGCATTAGGTATGCTCACACTACTGACCAGCTGTCCCCACGTCCACCTCCAGAATGTCCTCATCTTCCCACACTGAAGCTCTGCCCCCTTAACCACTGATTCCTCAGCGCCCTCTTCCTGCTTCCATCTGCAACCGAATTCTCCCGTGCCAGACAGGACATTCTCACAAATCCCTGGGATGACAAGGTGGGCTTCTGTGGGAAGTCACTGTTCTGCCTGGAAAAGCGCCCTGGGCCTACTGAGTCTCACAGTGCACCTGAGAGGTGGGATTTCCTTATTTACTAGGAGGAAGTTTCATTAACAGAGAAATTAACCACATTAAATCTAGATGGCTTGTTTATGGGAAATCTTACAGAGCAGAAATGACAACTGAGCTGTCTGGCTCATGGAATTTTTAAATGTTCATTGAATAAGCACTATTGTAACAATGATAATGTTGGGGGAAAAACAACCTCACCATGCAGCCTGTGTTTACTGTACTTGAATGACTATATTCCTTACATGGCATCACCTTCACAATCATAATCAAAAGCAAGGGGTCTGTTTCCGTGGCAGAAAATGTCAGAAGAAAGAAGAAAAAACAGAATTCACAACACTGGATGGAAGCAAGGACCTGAAGGCATCTTGGTGTCTCCAGAAAAGCCAGTTACTCAATGTATCACTGTATCACATTGCAATACATGCTCAAATCATTCCATGCAGTTGTTGCTTTGAGCTGGGTCTTGTTATGTTGCCTAGACTGGCCTGGATTGTCTGGGCTCAGGCAAGCCTCAAAGTGCTGAGACCAAAGGCATGTGACACTGTGCCTGGCCCATCCAGCTGGGAAGGTGTGTCCTGGCACTTGAGCATGTGAAATGCTTCTAGCAAGCACCTGACTAGAGAGAGAGAGCTGTCTTGTCTTTTGGTTTTTGGAAGACGAGGACTCATTATCTAGTTCAGGCTGGCCTCAAACTTTCAGCAATTCTCCTGTCTCAGCTTCAAGAGTGTGCCACTTCAGCTAGTTGAGGTGGCTGTTTTTAATCCTCCTCAGATAAAGAAGCTGAATATCTGCAAGCCAGTGTAGGAGGCAAAGCACCTGCCCACTCTACCAGCGTCTGCAGGGTGCAAGAGCACAGGGCACAGCTCTGGGGCACCTGTGTTCTCTTCTTGGTTACACAATCTGTAGCTGGAGGTAATAATGAAGGTGGAACCAGCTGTTCCCCACCAGAGCCCTCCCTCACCAGTCATTCCACATGCAGGGACAGCACCCGGGACATGCTCCGTTAACTTCCCATGCAGTCCCTTTCTGGACATCTTTGGTTGAACAAGGACCAGCAAAAGTATCTTCCACACACAAGACAAGAAGTTTCACCTGCTCTCAGTTTTCCTTCTCTGTGTGCACTTCAGAGCTGCCCAAAGTGGCCATCAGAAACTGCAGTGCTTCCCAGAGACCCTTGCTGCCTCCATTCCATGAAATCACTCCTCATGGCTGGGCCTCAACAGAGAAAAGCCTGCTAACCTCTGACCTCCAGCTTCCAGTGGCTGAGAGCACAAAGGGGCCCAGAAACCCAGTCCCGAGTTGTTCCTCAGACTAAAGGGGTCCTTGAGATCAAACTTAAGAATTACAGATGTATGACTCAGCAAAATGGAAAGGGACCTGTCCACTTTGTGTCCGGGGTCTGCAAGGCCCCTGCCACATCTATGGTCACAGAGCAAATGGGTAAACAGTGGGCAATGGAAACACTGTTACCATATATCCCGTATCATGTCACACCCGAGTTCAAGATCTGCCCACCCTCTCCAACAGGTAGCAGCAGCTTCACTGGTAGACAGTTCCCTTCTCCCATCCCCAAACTATAGTCATACATGAGAGTTTCCACACTGGGGACCCCTTGATGCACCAAATTTTTTGTGGGAGGAGAGATGGACTCTCAGGATTGTATCACACAAGCAACACTGGCAAAGTTCTGCTATCAAGGTGGAGGCAAGGCAGGGCACTGGGGATGCTGCTGCCAGCTCAGAGGCTGGAGGGGCTTTTCAGCTGGGCTTCCACAGGAGGGCCCAGCAGGCAGGGTATGAGTGGAACCAGGTTTTCAAGCCCTGCTCCTGGCTCCTGCTGGCAGGAAGAGTCAAGGGACCTCACCAGACAGCAAGGACAGTGCCCAAAGCTCAGGGTTCTGGGCCTGTCCCTACACCAGGACTATGGCTGCAGTAAGCTACTCTCAACTCCTGCAAACGACACGAACATAAAAGCGTTGCACAGCTATGATTTGCATTGTGCTTCCCTTGCTTCCAGGTATAACAGAGTGCCTTTTCCCAAAGGTTCAAAGCCCTCTTGTGCTGGCACTGGGTCTGGGAGCTGCCCAGGAAGGAAGGTCTGCCTGTCCACCTTGGAGGGAGCACCAGCTCCCTTGCCACTGCCCTGGGGGTTTCCAAAGAGGTGGCTAGTCCCTCATCCATGATTGTTCCTTTTAAAGCAGACTGGCCAGAGCCCAGGGCAGGTCCAGGAGCCAGGCCCTTGCTGCAGACACCAGCTCCTCTGCCCAGGCTCAGCACTTCCTTCAGGCCCTGAGGTGTGTGAGCTGAAGGAAACTAATGCCTCTGACTACACGGCAACCACTGAAGGATTCATTTTGAGAGCTGCAGCTCAGAAGTGATTGCTAAATATGGCATTTTCTGTTCTGATTGGAGACTTCCTTCAAATCAAGATTTGAGGGTGCATTTCAGGTGATAAAACGTGCCCTTGAGAAGGGGACTTTGCTTCACCTGAGAAGCAGCAGGATGGCACATTGGCTGGAGGGTGGTCCAGGCCAGGTCTCTCACGGAATGCAGGACACTGACACCCATAAAGGCACTTTCAACTCCAGAACAAAGTGACCAAGTATCAAAGCAAATCACACAGCAAATCAGTTAAAAAAAAGAAAAAAAAAGGTTTATTCGGAATATTTGATTTTTAAAAAATCATACGTATGAGGTATACTACAGAAATCCAGATACAGTAAGTTGTATGTAAAACCCAACCTAATAGTGGGAAAAGCAAGACTGCAGAAATCACTTCCAGAGAGAAAACATGCACATCAGGACCGCCAAGTGTCCCCAACAGTCATAACATTTCCGTGGATCTGTCCCCCAATCATGTGCACCAACAAGACTGGCCCTGGTGTCTCAGGAAGGACAGGTATTCCCCCTGCAAGTAGCAGGCAGTATGGACAGAGTGGCTTAAAGAGACCACCGTGGCACAACGGGAAGGAACACTTGCTTGTTCCCAGTCGTATTTTAGCCAACTCAATCACATTTTAATAACTAAACACGAGATTTTGGCAAAATGCACAACCCCCTGCTGAGGGCGTCCTTCTGGCAGTCCACAGCAAGGTACCTGCCTCCCCCAACTGGGGGCCATCCAGCCACACATGTCACCCCCCCTGCATGAGCAGACAGCCATGGGAGCAGCCCTGGGTGGCACCCAGGCCCAACACTAGCTTTAAGCTCACCTCTAAGCCCAGGGCCCTTCACTGTGGGCCAGTGTGTAAGACAAGCAGTGAGGGAACAGTGGAAGGATGTGGTGACACCTAGCAGGGCAGGAGTCAGGGGTCAGGAGAGCCATGGAGATAGGGATAAGACAGGGGCACAGGAGAAAGCCTCGCACAACCTTGGGTCACATGGGATGAGATGTGGGGGTGTCCCACCTGACAGGGGAGCCAGCACCCCTCCAGGGGTTCCCACCAGTCTTACTCTTGACCCGGGTCTTCCCTCCACTTCCGAACACTGCTGCCCCACAGAGCTTATGTAGTCAGCCACTCCCAGAGCTGCAGACATGGACATCAGTCCTGGGAGACCCAACAGTCATGACAAACATACAGACAACATGCACTGCTGACCTCAGGAGAGCCACAGGTACCTGAAGTGGCTACACATGACAAGGCAATTTGGCAAAAAAAAAAAAAAAAGTTCAAAAACAATCACCAAAGTCCTCCTAGGGAACATGATTACAATTTATTAGCACATTCTGTGGCATCAACATTTTCAAAAGCATCAGTAGAAGTATTAAATATAAAATCAATATGTATATTTCCCTCCTCACCCTCAGAAAACAGAACAAAAAATACAAACCCAAAGCCCCAAACCAGCAAAGGCATGATCTGAAGTGTGATTCTGTACAGGCCCGCAGGGCAGGCGGGCCGCCTACTGCCACATCTCCACATAGTTGGCCGGGAAGAGCCCGTACAGGCGCCTGCACACGCTGCGCTGCCAGCCTTCCTCATGCATCATTTCTATGTTGCTGATGATGTCATCAGGGTCAAAGGAGATTTCGTCACCACGCGCTAGGAAAAAAGCAAAGAGAGAGACACAAATGGAAAACATTTCCAGGGGGGCTGGGAGGAGCATGCAGCAAGAAGAAGGAGGCAGCCACAGCCCGTGTAAGGCTGGGATGCACAAATGTGAGCGGCGTCTTCCAAAAACATCCACCCTGGCCAGACACTGTTTTTGAGAAATGGCCAGGATGGGTGGGAACTCGCCTTCCTTCCCACCTTCACTGGGGGAGTGAGGGAAGGGTGCCACCACTGACAGGGCACAGGGGGACGAGGACATGTAGGAGGGGTGGTCAGGGTGGGTGGTTCTGAACACAGGAAGGGGTCTAGAAAGAAGCCCAGGTGACGGGCTGGAACACAGGTCACGGGATGAACTCAAACATATGTACAGATGCCAAAATATCAGAGAACCCATTGAAGAATAAATAGAAACATGTGTGCTGCTGGGCATGGTGGTGCACATTTGTAATCCTAGCAGTCGGGAGGCTTACACAGGAGGATCACATGGCACAAGTTCAAGGGCTACATAGTGAGTTTAAAGCCAGCATCAACTCTATTTCAGGTGATAAAAAGGTTTTATCACTTGAATAGAGACCCTGCCTCAAAAGAAAAAAAAAGCAAGAGAAATGTATAGATAGGGGAATAAATAATAGCAGGTGCAGAAAGGCCACGCTCTGCCTTTGACCGCCCCCACTCAGCGGGGAGGAGGAACTGGGAAGCTACTGTCAGGGAAGGCCAAGTGAGGCTGAGAGAAGACAGGACCTGGGGGGCTCACCATAGCGCCTCGCAGTCATCAACTGCTACTGGAGTGGTGTGGATTGGCAGGTGATAGTGACCAATGCCACAGAAATAACATACAGGGTAGGGCAGGGATTTATCTCAGTGGTGTAAGCACCTGCTTGGCAAGTACAAGGTCAGGAGTTCGATCCTGGGTACCACAAAAAAGACAACTCAGCACAGGGAGGCACCGAATTGTATCTGTGGCCTTCCTACCATGCGAGCACCAACTCTGCTGGGCCCTGGCCAACTGTGGAAGGACACGGCCCAGGAACAGGGCCAAACAGGACCAACGCCGAGGGGTGTGTCATGTGCACAAGTGACCTCCCAGAGGGTGGAGAGTGCTGGAAGTACTCATATGAGACCCTGGATGTCCTAGACATGCACAGTGCAGTTTTCGAGTTTTGTTTTCTGTATTTTTGTAATACTAGGGAGGGAATGGGGGCCACCTGCAGGCGTTTCACAGAGCTACATCCCCAACACATCTATTTCTTTGGAGACAGGGTTTTGCTAATTCACCCAGACAGGGTTCAAATTTGCATTCCCCTGTTTTGGTCTCCCAAATAGCCAGGATTGCAGGTACGTGCCATCACATCAAATGGGGTTTTTAGGGGCAATGGGGACCTTGCAGGTCCCCGATGGATCTGAGAATAAATGTAATTGAAGTGGTTAAGTGCATGAGTTTGTACATGCACACATGCAGAAAATTAGGACCTGGTTGAGACATGAGAGTCCTTGTCACTGTACTGGGAGTTTTTCTGTAACTGAAACTATTTCAAAATAGAAACTGCAGCATCACTGGAAAAGTCAGATTCTTAGGGGCTGAGTTGGCAGGAACAAAGGGCAGGAAGTTGCTCAGGCGCCTCACCAGCCTGGTAGTCCTAAAGTGCGATGGCTGTGATGCCCAGGTCGTTCTCATACTCGTCATAGGTGTTCTCTTCTGAAAGGAAATGGGGACAGTTGAGTAGCAGCTGGTACCCACCTGTACCTCCCCACTGTAACTGCTTTTCACACAATGATTCCCAAGATTTGGGGCAGGAGCACTTGCTAGGAAAAAAATCTCAGTGAGTGAGCTCCACTCTGAGGGCAGCAGGAGAGAGGAAAGGAGGCACCTCCTGGAAACTCAAGAGAAGACTCCAGCTTTCAAGAGCAAGTCCATGGACTCCCAGCTCTGCCATCACCCAGGGAACATGGCTCTCATGACCATTTTGAGAGTATAACTTTTAAAATGCAAAATATCTAGCATCATCAGGGAAGTGAATAAGAGAAGGGACAGGGCAATCAATGCCTGTGACGCTGTCAAGGTAAGAGGCCTCCCCCCCGTCACGTGTGTTCTCAGCCCAAGTGGCTCCTGCCCTCCATACCGACCACATTACCACATTGCTCCATGTGGGATAAGGGGTCTGTGCTGGACCTGGTGTACTACAGGAAACCTCAGTATTAAAGGACAATAAGCAAAACTGCAGTGTTCACCTAGATCAGGGGCAGAAAACCTTTTGGAGACCAACTAACTACTCAAACTGTAACACAAAACCCACTTATGTATCACAAAGTGATAATGCTGTAATTAAACCTGAATACCGAGGTTTTAGTTTACAAAAATAACCTAATTCAACGCTGGGTTTCTGGCGGGACTTGGATTGTGAGCCAACAGAGAGGGCTCTGCGCATACCCACTGCAGCAGGCATGCTATAGGTTCACCACACTGACCTAAGTGAAACACCTGCACCATCTTCAAGCTGCAGAAAGTGTCACCTTTAAGGTTGTCCTGCAGCAGACAGGTGCTTGATGTCCAGAGGAAATGCCACAGTAACAGAAGCCCGTTTCCTGACTCCAGACCTATCCCCAGGTTCCCTGTATCCCAGAATACCAGGGACCTTCCCAGGACCACTGCTGCCACTGGAGACCACTGTGCCTAGGGCCATTCTAACAGGGAAACAAAGAGTTCGGGGGTGGGGGGTGTGAGCAGACAGGAACCCTGAACACATTCTTCATGGGGAACACATTCTTCATGGGGAAAACAAACAAACAAAAAACCTCACTGGATATCTATGAAAGCCATCAGATCATTAACGACCTACTGCAAAATTGGTGATTTAAAGAGAGAAAGAAATAAAACATTTATCCCAACTTTTCTATGTAGACTATAAGAACAAAATAATTCCAGATGTTGAACATCTTAGAATGAGCAAATTGGATAAAACTCGTGATTTTTAAAGTCTAATGAAGTAAAGTATTTTTCAGGCAATGGTATTAAGCATGTAGTGATTATCTACCAGCACCAGACTGTAGTTGCTAAGTTTAGCATCAATAAAATCAGGATAACAGGCACTGGGAGCCTCTTTAGTGATGAAACACAGCACAATTTCCAGAAATCACCTTCTCATAAGCTAAGCACAAATTAATTAAGTCCGTAGTGCTAATAAGCTAACTTCCCTTGCCAAAAGTACATGAAATGGAGAAAGAAGTTAATGATATTGGAGAAACAAACAAATAAACTTAGGTCGTGAAATAACAACCTGGTTAGAACAGTTAACCTGATGTCCATAACAGATCCGGTGGTACAGGGGTGAAGAGGGAAGAAAAGCTACCCTCGAAGAGAGGCTCAACAGTCTTTAGATTTAATGTCTTACCTCACATTAGATCTTTTAGTTCACAGCCAGCTATAACAATATTTTTGATGCAGCTAGAGGAGCTCAATTATGATCACATTAATAAATGATACCAAGGAATTATTGTTAATTTTACTAAGCAGCCTAACCAAGATCACACTACTGCTTTTGTGGTCTTTAGGAATTATTGTCTTTGGATGACCCTCTCTCCATAAAACCATACTAAAAATATATATTTTATGATCACATTGGCATAAATATTAATATAATCTAATGTGGCTTTATACTACATATTTAATAATATTTATTTTTCTGATTTTAAAAGTGATAAAAATGTGAGCTACTATTCCCAGACTTCCAATACTATTATGGGCCCTAGGAACTATGCCCTGATTATAATGCCACAAAGAGCTGAGGGAAACCCTTCATAATTGTTCTGCACTCTAAAGAATTTAGTGCACAAAGAAGAGAGGTCAAAGATAAGAGTATAAAACAGAATAATACTACCAAGTAGATTAGCAGTCTAAGGGGACCATTGAGAACCGATATAATTATTATATAAGATAAAAGTGAAAAGAAAGAATAAGAATCACTAGAAATATTTTGCTGACATAATAAAAATGGTTGATAATCACAGAGAACTTGTAAAACAAAGGCTAAGGCAAAATAAATGCATCAAATAGCTACAGTTTTATTTTCTGATCCACAGTAAAATGGAGACCTATAGGACCCTACCCATTCTTCTCTGGATGAGCTCTGGGTGGCCTGTGTCTCTCATAAAATGTGGCACTAGACTGAAGTACAGTGTTCCTGTCACCATCACACCCACAGGCAGTAGCACCCTGATGGTGCTTACTCTAAGTAGGATAAACCAGTGGTGACAACTGGTATACTTAGGTCAGTCAAGGAAATCGACTCCAGCTGAGAATCTCAAAGGAGGCCTTGCTATTTAGATTCTGCTTGTAGTATGGTGGCTGGAAAAGTAGTACCAAGAACACATTCTTGCACAGTAGCATCTCCATAAAGATGAATATCAAATACTATTTACACCCGGCACATATTTTCCAATACAGCGAAACTCATCCAAGCTTCTTTACTCATGTACATTAATCTCTCTAAGAGATAAACAAGTGAACTCTCATCCTTGGGTAAAATGTTTCTTTGTGAAAACACATTTATGAACATGTGATAAAAGAAGGAAATCAGTCATGGTGGGGTAAAAGATATCAAATATGCCCTCGTAATCTGATCAATGACAAAACTGAACAAACTACATAAAATAAATATTTTTCAGGTGATAGACAACAAAAAAGCAGTGCTTTGATCCATGAAAAATAAAAAGCCACTCAACGTAAATCCTAAAAACTACCCCAGCTTCCTGAGTAGGATAATTTTCCAAAATGCGGACCAAGGAAGTAAAGCCCAGATGATAGCACTATCTCTAGGTAGAAGAAACAGAGGTCAGAGATGAGAGCAGTTAAAGTAGCTGGATTTGACAGAATAACAGAGAGAAGGAAGAAAAGAGTCCTAGAAATCTGCATTGGGTCACCTTGAAGCTTTAGTCAAGCACTAAAAGCTACACTGAGCACAGTCACTGGGGTTGAGGGAAGAGATACTGTGAACTGAATAGAGATTCCAAAGAGGACAGGTACTGTGAGACTTCGGTGTTCTGAACACCTAAAATGTCCTAAACACCCTGAGGATTCAATCTAGCTCCCAAGAAAGACCTTAAGAGTAGGTTAATGATAGGCTAAGAAAAATTCCAGGCTCACCCTAAGGAAGTCTAAAGCCAAGTCTTAATATGATCAAGCCTATAAGTATTCACCAGTAAATTATCCATGCCCATTTCTCTTTAAAAGAAAACAATAAAATTCAGATCTCTCCCCCCAAAACATAACGCTATAGTTTGGATGAATGTTCCCTAGAGTCAGGTGTTAAAAGTTTAGCCCCCAAGGTGGTGCTATTGAGAGGTGGCAGAACTTTTGGAAGGTGAGGCTAAAGAGAAAGTTTTTCCATCATTAGTGTCATGTCCTTGAAGGTGATGAAAGGATCTCAGTCTTTTCCTCTTTCTTGCTCTGCTTCCTGCTTATGAGGTATTATGGTTGATATATCTTGTCAACTTGAGAAGTTTAGAAATTTAACTAAGAGACTCAGCAGGAAGCCAGGATCCCCACTTTGTAAACATCCTCGGTCTGTGTAAGAGGAGGGTACAAAAATGATGTGAGTGCTACACTCCTCCAGGGGAAGGAGGGTAGTAGCTTGCTTATAATATAAAGGATGAGGTTTGCTCTGCCCCTCTTTTGCTCTGGCTGCTTTGGCTGGCTGCTGTCTTGAAATACTACTTCGGAGCCATGCCACTCTGCCTTGGAGCCAGCTGACTATGAACTGAAACCTCCACAAACTGTGAGCTAAATAAAATTTTCCTTCCTTCATTTTGGATATTGGGCATTTTGTTCCAGCAAGAGAAAAATAACCAAGACATGAGGTGAGCAGTGTACTCTGTCTCACTTTCTTGTCCTCACTCTATAGAGGCCCAATGTAATGTGATCATTTAACCTTGGGCTGGAACCTCCCAACTGTGAGCCAAAACAAGCCCTTTCTAAATTAATTCCTTCCACTATGCATTGTATGATGCACATAGTATTTTCAGTGCCCAGCATAAAACATAAAATTACTAGACATGTGAGGAAGCAGATGAATGTAGCCCATAACGCAAGAGAAAAGAGGCCCAAGAGAAACAGAACCAAAGATGATGCTAGAAATACAAAACAAGGGTTTCAAAACAGCATAATCAATGTGATTCATGTTTTCAAAGAAAGATCAATTGTAATGGTTAAATGTCTGAATAAATCTCTATAAAGACACAATAACTATAAAAAAGAACCAAATGAAAATTCTATAGCTGAAAAACGCAGTACCCAAAATGTAAACTTACTGTGAATCTGTTTATTGTTAACTGTTTACTGCTCTGATTATTTGTCAAAATGGACAAATCCACCAACCAAAAAGTAACTGAAGTTACAACAGGGAGATGAAAATGAAGGTCTACAAGAGCCCTGCCTGTTCTCCTCCTCCCTCACAGAAGCCTTCACTGAAGACAAAGTGATCTCTTGTTCCCTAGCAATGTGCTGGACTTTTTTCAGATTCAGCATAAGGAGCTGAGACCTCAGGAACCTGGGAGATGGAAGGTAGCACCCTGAAGGTGGGATCACCACTGAGTGCTCTCCCTCAGAGAGGAAAACCTGGGCCAGCAAGCAGCATTGGGACAGGAGGAGACAGCCATCAACAGCAGCTTCTGTGGCCAGTGGGAGGGGATGGCAGCAAAGGC